CCATGTGGGCACCTCCGGGGCAAGCAGGAATCGAACTCATGTGGAAGTGACTTTAGCTTCTCAGTGCTGTGCTTTAACCCGCTGCACCACCAGGGAGGGCCCCTAAGTGCTGATTTTTTAAAGTTAGTTGCAGTATGTAATTTGAAACTGTATCACTGAACTTGCTATTCTCTTTTACATTAAATCCATTGGTCTATCTCGCACTTTGAAATTCACCCAGGCATAATTTTGTAACATGCTTCAGTCATTTGGAAATTATCACTTTACTGAGTTATGTGGTTTTTCCAGGTGATGGAATATTTTATTACAAAATCACGAAAGAATCCTATTTGTTAACAGCACTAGCCATCTCCTTTGAAAAGTCTTCAACAATTTGTTAAAAATAGTTACTAATTAAAAGTTTGAGATCTTTATCAAACTCATGGTGGTGAATACAAGTTTGCCAAAATTCTGATTTTGCCTTGAATGCTCAAATGGTATCATTAGCAACAAATGCTGTCAGTATTTTCCTTGATGTGACAGGCTTAGTTCATTTATTTTTGATAAAATACTTGCCAAATGTTCAAACCTAAATAAACATAATTTGTTAATTAAAAATGACATCCCATGAAAAAGCATGTTCAGTTTGTCTCTCAAAAAATTCACAACTGCTTTTGCTTGAGACAGCCGGGATACTTCATCATGCCAAGCCCATACTCTTGCCACTTTAGCATGCTTCCTGTTTCATCATTAAGGATATTAAAAGTATGTGTATTCTTATGTCAAGACTTAATAAAGTCGTTGTACTTCATTAAGGCCAATCTTTAATAACGCTGGCATCTGAATACCAGCACTGAAGAATACAGTGACTAATACTGCAATTAGATCCCTTTTCTCCTGAAGTTTTACCCACTATTGCTGTTGCACTTTGAGTAAGAATGTCAACATAGGGAAGATGGCAAATAATATGTATTTTTGTGAAAATAATTTTGACTTCTTGCATCATTTGAAAGGGTTTGGGACCTGTCCTCCTCCATCCCCCAGGGTCCATGAGTCACAACTTTGAGAAATGTTACTAAAGAGTTTCTGAAATTCTGAAATGTCTATCTTTTCTGGTATGATTTAACATATACCTATAACTCTGGTATTTCCTGTAAATGGACTTGACCAGCTAAGGATTGATTTCATTTTTTTCTTGATCTGCTTCATAGGTGGTTTTGAGTTTGTATTCTTAGTAATCACTGATGGTGGTTGCTTACCCTTAACTTACTAAGAGTTGCATATGGCAGTGTTCCAGTTCTGTCATTCCTTCTTTATTAGGAGGACTTCTTTTAGGAGGACTTCTTGTTAAAGGATACCTTCCTCTTCCAACAGTTTGGATATTCAGATACCATTCACATGGATTCAGGCAATATAGGGAAAATAAGTATGTTTCTTTTTCATATATGAGTTGATTATTTTGTATCCCTCAAAAAGTGATCAATGCGGCATGAAGTATTCTTACCAAGTGTCATTATGAACTCATGGATTTCAGTTTATTTGATGTGTTTCAATTCAATTCAATTATCCTATCCTAACTTTGAGCACCAGGAGTCTCTTCAAGTTGGGTCCTGAGGGCTTCTGATAAGACCTTTGTTGTCTTTGATAGCTTTCTTGTTTTTTTTTTTTTATATATGACCAAGTGCTCCAAACTCTGTACATTTCCTGTCACTCATTACATCCCTCCTTCTTCTCTGGTAAGATCTTAAAAATTGGGCTTTCAAGACCTCAGGTTGAAGCTGTGATACTTAAAGCTGTGATACTTAAAGATGATCTTAGCTGCTCCTGTGATTGGTGATTGTTTCTAAACCTTGCCAGTGAATAAGACTAGAAAATATTCATATTTTTAAAAGATAAGATGCATCATGAATTCATTCTGATACTTCCACTCGCATTTAGGAATCAATAATCTTTCATTGCTTGTCATCAACAGCAATAAAATTGTTTTATCCTATGCTACACAGGCAGCAGAGTACTAGAATAACTATCAGTACTACCACCAATCATATGATTATGAAAAATAGTTTACTTTGTAGTTTTAAAAAAATTAAAATTTAGAAGCATTATCTCAGTTCAGCTAGCTGATCTTACCATAACCTTGTTCTTGGTGTTTTGCTGTTCTTTCATAAACTGTTTTCCCATTTCCCAGAACATCAAATTTAGCAGAAAATTCAACTGAATTAAAGAAATCAATTCACTGTGAGTCAATCATGCAGCATTGGTTGTATTGGTGGAACAAACTTAATAGACAACTTTAGTATGAGTGGTAGATAATCCACAATGGAATGAATTTTCTTGTTCTTTTTTTTTTAATCTGAGTGGTCTTTTTTTTTTGTTTACTAACATTTTGTGTTCGTTCTATTATTTATCCAGACTGCTCTTTTTAGTATCTTAAAATAGAAAACAATCCTTAAAGGTCCACATGCATTATGTCTGTTTTGTTTTAAGTGGCTATACTATGAAACACTGAATTTCTTCTATTTTTTAAGAATAGCAAGTTTAATTGGCACTTTCTGTTTAACTTAGAAATTCTATTAATATGTTTTCTTCTATAATTTGTCATAAATTGCATCAGGAAAAAATGTTAATGATGTTTTTGAAGCAGTTATTTCTAGCTCCATAAATATGAATATTGTGATCAAGAAAATTATGTAATTAAGGGAAACTGAAGTAATGACCCCTAAAATAAAAACTGATTTGTATGTGGAATACTTAGTGATATGCCTTTCCCCCTCCCCTCTTCCAGGTTAAAAATTAAATCATGACTGAATCTGCTTCTAGCACAAGTGGTCAAGAGTTTGATGTATTCAGTGTTATGGACTGGAAAGATGGAGTAGGTACATTACCGGGAAGTGACTTAAAGGTAAGCTGTTTTTATTATATAAAATAGGTGTATTAGTGTGTCTATGTGTTTTACTAATAAGTAAAATAAATTTGAGTTCATTTATATGTGAAATAAGAATGAAAAGCATTGTTACGGGTTTACTATGATGCTTAGACCTTTCCAAATACTCACTCTCAAAAAACTGAAATGCTTATGGCTGTGTAGATACCTTTTGCACTTGGGGCGGGGACTAGGGAATATTTCTGTAATATATGCTCATTGTGCAAGATTTGATTTATGGCCTCAAGGAAGATCATTTCAGTTTTGAGTCTGTCATGTTGGCCAAGAAATGTGGAAATGGTAGACATAGAAGATCTAGCTTCTATTATTTTGTAATAATGAACTTTGTAACTTTAAGTGAATAACTACCCTTCTTGTGTTCTAATTTTCTCGTTTCAAGACTGGATAATATTATTGAATAAGCAGGACTCCTAACCTCCTTTAAGTTATACTGTAAATTGGGATTTTTTTGTATGACCATTTGTTCCAAAGGTTAGTCTTGCCTATAAATCAGACTACTTTTCTGTAGATGAAAACACTCTTTTGAAAATGATGCTTTGGTTTACTTCTTTTGTAATGTGCTTCCCCTGCTCCACTCCCCCAACCCCCAAACCTACTCCATGATCAGATTTGCTGCCCCATGAAACATGGTTGTGCAAGCACTCATCTGGGATGTCAGCCTCCCCAATCTCTCAGTTTTTATTTGCTTTTGCTCCTATCTCTGGGACCTTGAACCTGTCTGTGACCCTTCAGACTTTGTGTTTGTACTTGGTCATGCAGGTGTTTGAACTTCCCATCTCCCTAATAGTCTGGTACTTGACTTCCCCCTCTAATGTGGGTGTCCTAGACAGTCTTGAATTGAAACCCCTGCCCTCAAATACTGGCTTCCTTTTAGTGACAAAGCCTGTCCTCGTTCATTCGGAATGGTGCTATTTGGCCAGCCTACCTGTCTGTCTTTGGAAAAACACTTATATTTTAGTTGGGTTAAGTTTAAATAAGTACCGTGTGCCAACATATCTTTCTTGAGTTTAACTTAACAAAAATGTTGTGGTGAGGTGAAATCTGCAGAGATTTGGCTTGTAGTTTTAGTTCTGTGTGACCCTGAACAAGTCAGTCTCTTTGGGCCAGTTTCCTCCTCAGCAAAATAAGGATTTAAATGAATACTAAGAATTTTATTACTAACATTCTCCAAATGTCCATCTGGATTAGATATGATGGAAATAGGATGCTAAAGTGTTTGAGAGAGAGAAATGGTTTCTTAGCCTCTAATAATATGAGCCACACCACTATATGAGCTTTGTCAAGTTATTAAAGTCACTGAGTTTCAGAATCTTTATTTGTAAAAGGGGGACTTAGGGCCTGTGTCATGAAAATTGGGAAAAAAAAACAATATATGTAGGAAACAAATTATATATGTTCTGGCTTTGTGCTATATTATGTAGACTGCCTTTTAAAAGTGCCTCATTCTTTTACTCTTAAACATTTTATCCCTTTCTATTCAATGACATTTTTGGTATCTGGAAGGTGATGAAATATATAACTTTTGTTCAGTTAAATTTTTGACCATAGAGTGGATTTTCCATCCCTAAGAAAATCAGAACTGCCTGAAGGTTTGCTCAGGATTGGATTTTCAGAATTAGCCTCTTACTGTTATTAAAGTCATTAAATAATTGTCACTTAGTGAGTGTTACACAATCTGTATTAATTGATTTGTCTTTTAGGCTCATCTAATTACCTGGGTAATTTCCATGCCTCTAATTCTGTTCATGCACTGTAGACGTTTTGATACTCCATGTAAAAAAGAAAAAGACAATTAAAATTTTATTTTTATATGAGGAAATTCAGAAATTAACCAGTTAACTAGATTGCTTAGGACTTCAGTTTAATAACTCCTTCTATTGAAATCCAAGTTGCTTAAGAGAACTGATTTAGACATTGATATTTTTACACACTCAAGATATTAGAAAGAACCTTGAACAAATCATCAAATTTACTCTTTACAGCATGGTTTGCTTATTTATACTTTCCAAGACTTTTTTATTGGGTGTAAGTGTGTAGATTTCCTCACAAACAGCATGCTAGCCTGAGATAGCCAGTTAGTGCAGTCAGCTGATATGCAGAACTCAGTTTCTTATGCAAATAAGTTTTTATATACTTTAGTTTATTGCTGTTTTGAAGAAACCTTTTCTAGTGTAAAAGCCCTGTGATAACTGGCCAGTCTTCTGCTTTTTAAAATCATTTTAGCAGTTTCCCATATTTTTTATGATAAAGTTCAACTCTGAAATTTACTGCAAACTTGCTTTTTTTTTTTTTTTTTGGCACTGACTTTCCTGTCTGGATGCATCTTATTTTATGTCTTAATTGCCTCGACGACCCTTTCCAGCCCAGACCATTAGTCCCCATCTTTGCCCCTTTTTGATGTTTTCTGTTGCTGGAATCTCTTTCCTCTCTCACACTGGGCCGAATCAACTGTGTATACATCAGCGTGCAAACATCTTGTTGTTTGGGTTCAGTAGTAGAAAGAAGAGAGAACTATTCTCTATGTGCACATAAGCACCATTTTGAAGTTTTATTAACTTTTTTCTTTTTGAGTCAAATAGTTTCTATCACTGTTGTCAGTTTACAAATGAACAGTAATTCATTCGCTCAAGGTCAGACAATTAGTTATTAGCAGAAGTATGTCTTAAAATCAGGCTTTTATGAAATTAAAATGGATTTTCTTAACACTGTTGTGTTATAGTCTAAAGAAGGCAAACATATTCACATCAAAAGTGATTGGAGGAAAATGTGACAGCAGTTTAGAGGAAGGAGGATCACTGTAGCTGGAGGGATCAGGAAGGCTTTGATGAGCAGGTGTCAGTGACTTTCAGGTGCCTGAAAATAGGTGTCTTGGTGAAGACTTTTGAGGGGCAGGGATGAGAGGAGGGGCAGAGAAGAACTACTGGAAGAGGAACTAAGAGAGTACAAGTGTTAAAGGAAACATGACCCTCTTGAAAATATCAAATAACATTTTTGCTTAAACAAGTTTCGAAACTTGACTGTTGACTAACTTGATCTTTTGAAGTGCAAACTGGCATTTATACACGAATATCTCAGGGCTAGCCACAAGGACAGGCAGGCTACTAAGTAGGGTAGAAAGGTAATTGGTGTAGGCTCTCTGTCCCTGAGAATTTCTCTGTCTGAACTTCTAATGGTGTCTGAAATTTATTCACAGAGAGTCATTCCTCTGGGTTGGAAGGATTTGGTGCTTTGGAGTCTCTCAGTAAAATGCAGATAGATGCCTGAGAGCAGTAGATAGCTTCTTATCTGGTAAGAGTAGTTGGAACTTAACCCACAGCACAACCCTGCAGCGGCAGCAGCACAGAAACCTAGCAAGAACATTAACGTGTTCTTGGTGCATGGTTTCGCCTTGTCTTGATTAATGGTCAAAATAATTTAGTTACCAAATAGCTTTGTCCCAAAAACAGGACTAGTAAGTGGAATGCAGATTTCAACATTAAAAATAATAAAATTTAAACAGTAATCTAAGCAATGTCTTAAATTAAGAGACTGAATCACTAGAGATAACTCAGACCTAGCCAAACAAGTGAATAAAACTTTTGCATTCATTTGTAGATTTTAGACATAATTGTTTTCTGATTGACCTGGCTCTGTCTACTTGTAGAAATAATTATGCCAGCTGATGTCAGTAGATTTGATTAATAAATTCATTGTTGTTTATATATGTGTGTGTGTGTGTGTGTGGGTGTGTGTATTTAAAGAGCAGGTTTATTAGGAACAGGGACGCTTGCATAGACACAAGCGAGCAGGAAGAGCTGCCCAAATTCATTGTTTATAATGTTGATAGTCTTAGTTGTAGAAGAATCACTTGATACATTTTTATACAGCTTTGTAGCTTTCTAGATTAAACGTGCAAATAACTTTTAAAAAATGACAATGATTATGTTGTTTCCATGGTTCCGAAGCTGTTCATGAAAGCATTAACAGGTCCAGAGCCCTGGGTAAAATTGGATAAAATGATGTTAGGAAATATGTCAATTTTTCTACAATTAAATCTTTGGAATGCCAGTAATGTTACTTAGTCCCTCACAGCCTATGTTTAATGTTTTCTTCAATTGTGATATTGAGAAGTGAAAAGAAACAAAGAAACTATGTCTTTTTACATGTGACAGGATACTTTAAAAACACTTTGAGGTTTATTTTTGAGATAATGTAACTTCAGTGAGAGTAGATGCCCTTTTCTTTTCTGGGATTATAGGCGATCTTTGAGAATCTGATAGATCCTGTGAATCCTATCTCCAGAAGATGTGTGTGTCTGTCCCATAATTTTGCATGTATTTTTGGGGATTCATTAACCTCTGAGGTTCACCTGTGGATGCCTGGTTGGTTTATAGGACTTAACCTGTGACCATAAGTAACATTACATCTTTACTTTGTACTTAAGTGAGGTCAGTTACTGGCAATAAATGGTAGGAAAAGGAAAAGATGACTGGATTAAATGGTGTTTTGTTTGAACCTAAAATTTCCAGGTATCATAGTTGCAAATTTTTATTTGAAGGTTCCACCTAGTGTTTTTCTTTCTCAGTGTTTGAAATGCCAGGTGGTTTTGCAGTTCAGCAGCACTTTGGAAACATAGCTCGCAGGAGACTTTCTGTTCAATGTCATTTTTAGTGCTAGTTCTCACATTTTGTAATTGTCCATTATGTCTGTATTGATACCAACGTATATAAAAGTAAATTACTCATCTAAATTGAACCCTTCAGTTCATGCCTATCTTGTCAGAAAGGGTGCTTTTTGTCAATTATTTTTTAAAATTTTCATTCAGAATTCATTTTCCTTCATGTTTTTTAATATTATTAATTAATAATCACCATAGCCTGTTTTTTCTGTGCTTGCCCAGTAGATGGTACTGTCAGCTTTATTTTGAAATATATTGTTTTCAGAGCTGATCACTTAAACATTTAAAACTATTTGCCCCCAAAGTGATTATTTGTAGCTCTGTTCCTTCCACGTAACTTTTGCTACCTCTGAGACTGACATTGTAGATGAATAAACTAGGTATGGCCTACACATGTTACCTGGGAACTGGTAATATGTACTAGGGAGAAGACAGTTCATTTTCCTTAACTACTTGATGTTACTCATTATAGAAAGCATTTAATAACTGTGGACTGTGAGTAAGGAATTGCTTAAGATGTCACTTTCACCTGTTGGAAAGAATAATTACTAGCAATTTTTGCTTAAGATTTTTCTGACCAGTACTCTAAATCTAGTTTGGTAAAGTAAATAATTCTATTGGCATGTTATTGGCAAACAGATATTTTAGATTGGGAAATGGAAGATCTTATTTAAATACTACATATCTGCATGGTGAGAGGTATTTCTGTGAAAGCTCTAAAAATTTAATTGGTTTTATCCTTTTGATTTTGAGCTTCCTAGCTCTTTGTCACCTATTATGATTAGTAGATTCCTAATATTCTGTTCCATAGGAAAAAAGAAGGAGCCCAGAAAACTTTGAACTTCACAGATATGAGAGTAAACTTAAATGCTTTAAGTTTATGCTTAAATGCTTTAAGGTCTAGGATGGGGTCCCTAGACCTAGGCAAGGGGTTGGCCCTTAACACACACTAGGTACGTCCAGGCTGCCAGAGAAGCACAGTTTGTTTTCGACTCATCATGAGGTGACCAGAAATTTTCAGCACTTAAAGTCAACTTTTCTATCAAATCAAAATGCCCTCGTGAAATGGGTGGCATGGAGCTTGTTGACTTGTTCACCAGCGTTGCCATGTTTTTGGAGGACTAGAGCTGACTATAACAGAGCAGTGAGAGAACAATCAGCTTGGAGCTGGACTCAGGGTTCTTGTTTCAGCTTTCCTCATTCACATCTTGGAATGTAAGGATAGGAATGTGTCATCATTATTTCTGCAAAAGAGCTACTCCTTGTTTCTGAACCAGGTGAACTTGGGTAAGATAAGTTTATTCCAGGGAAAACAGTAAATTTACTATTACTAATTTTGATTATGCAATAAACAGCAATATAACATTTACTAAATGGTGTTTGAAATTGCAGGCCATATAATGACCTGGCAACTCTACAAGGACTTCAAAGGGATGCTCTCTTAGGGCCTGCCTGCGTTGTACTTTCCCCCCTTTCCTGAATGCCCACATTAGTAAAATGCAAAGGGTATTAGTGGAAGCCTTATCAAGATGTCGCTGTGTAAATTAACTTAAAACATACTTAAAACTGTGAAAAAAAACTGAAAAAACTGTGTCAGCTGTTAAATGATTACTCTTCAGAACATTTTGGTAAAGGTTTCCTCTTTCTGCTGTGTCATTGTTAGTTTCGGGTAAATGAGTTTGGAGCCCTGGAAGTTATTACAGATGAGAGTGAGATGGAAAATGTCAAGAAAGCAACAGCTACCACAACTTGGATGGTGCCGACTGCTCAAGAAGGTAGGAGCGACACATCTGCATCATCATCTTTCTTTTACAAGGTTTAATTTGCAATTATCTAAGGTTTTTTAGTAGGCTGGAACTTTGAAAATCCTGGGTGACCTTCATGTCACATGTTTTTAGGTCAATTTATAAAATGAATCTGATGTGAAACCAGCTTTTATGTTTTGAAATTACTATAAACTATCTTCTTTCCTAATGTCAGACCTATAATAGCACAAGGTTTATTGGAAATTATTAAGTAAATCCATGTTATAATAGCCTACCCAGGTGATTCAGCCAAAGCCTGACACTTTTTTCTCATCTACTCCAATGGTTGTAACTAACACCTATATGCTGATGACTCCTAAATCTATATCTCCAGCCCCGACCTCTCCCCCGAGCTCCAGGCCCGTATTTCCACCTGCCTACTGGACATCTCCACCTGGATGTCCCTCAGGTACCTTAAACTCCACATGTCTGAAATGCGATTCATTTTCTACTTCCTTTCTCCCCTCCCCCTAAATCTTCTCTTCCTTCTTTACCTCCTATTTCAGCTGATGGTGACACCATCCACGCACTGGACAATCAAAAAATCTAGGAGTCATCCTGAATTTGTTCTACTCCAGCCCCCTAGCTTCTTATTTGGTTTTCTTTTGCTAAATATGTCTGCTATCTGGCCTTTTCCACCTATTATCAGTGTCACTGCCTTAATTAAGCCCTTACAGCAATCTCCTAAGGAATCACTCTGCCTCTAATTTCACCCAGTGTCTGCACACTGAAGTCAGAGGAACTTACATGGATTTGCTTATCTGATACTTCGCTGATTTCTTATATTGTCTCTTTCACAAAACATACAAAGGTCTTGGGTGACCCACTCCTACCTGCTCACTTACTCTCCTCGCTCTCAGTTCTGTTCTTTGTACTTTATGTGCTGGCACTGCCAGCAGCACTGAATTACATGCAATTCTCCCAGCACACCATCTGGTTTTCCTTGCCTTTGCTCAAGCTGTTTTTTTCTGGCTGAGATGCCATTTCTTTCTTTGTCCAGTTGGTAAATCTCTCTTTGGTCTTCAAAACCCCGTGCAGGCTTTATATCAAAAAGTCCTTCCCTGCCCTTCACTCCAGGCTGAATGAATCGCTCCTTCCTCTGCACTACTTCTGGAACTTGTTCATGCTTCAATAATTGCATGTATCACATTTTGTTATAAATATGGGTTTTCTTGCCTGTCTTCTAGACTGTGAGCTCTCTTGGACAAGGTCTATACTCTCTTTATCAGTGTTTAGCAAAAATGGGTGCCTAGTAAATGTTTGCTGAATGAATGATTAGCTTAACAATTTAGGCAGAAGGAAATGTGAGTTTCTAAATGATCTGGATTATGATGATCCAGGGACATGGACTGCTTTAAGAATAAAATGTTTATTAATCAGCCAGTTAAGTAAATCAATAAGTAAATTTTGTCAAAAGTCTATAGATGGCTTCATCTGACTTTAGTGACAAATGAATTTGTCTTCATTTTATTTCAGTTCTATAGAAAATTCCTTGAAAAGCTTTTGTTTACTTTTCTTCAGGAATTTTTTGTTATGTAAATGATTTTGTTATGTAAGTGATTCCTGCCAAACCCATCTGCTTCTCTTTCCCAAACTCTGTAATCATTCATTCAACAAATATTACTCTTAGTGTGCTAACAATAAATTAAGTTTTGCTAACAAAACTATTAGAAGGAAACAGTTAAATGTATTTGAAATGTTTTCTGTCATGGTTTTAATTTTTTGCCCTTCTTTTCATCTTTTAGTATTTTCAGAAAAGACTGGGATGCCTTTCAGGTTGAAGGATCCAGTGAAAGTAGAAGGGCTTCAATTCTGTGAGAACTGTTGTCAGTATGGCAATGTAGATGAGTGTCTTTCTGGAGGAAACTATTGCAGCCAGAATTGCGCTCGGCATATCAAAGACAAGTAGGTTTTTGCCCAATTCCATCATTACAGTGGGTTTTAAGTCCAAACTCGGATGCTTGGGAATACAGACATTTTGTGCCCTGTGACATTTGTTGCCCATCCATGCCTTTTTCCCTGAGACTTTCTGCTGGAGGCACGTAGGCCCTAATCCTGATAGTCCACAGAGATTTCAGTCATGTCTGGCCTTAGTTGTTCTGCTTATATCCTACCTCCAGTGCAACCTCTGCCTCTTTTTTTTCAGTCATTTATTTGCAATAATTTGATAGCCCCCAGCTATGAATTTTTTAGTTTTGTCTGGACTGTAACATAAACATTTTGATGATGCTGATAATTTATGGAAATAGTTTTTGTTTGTTTGTTTGTTTTGTTTCGTTTGGGGGATTCTTAGATAACTCAGGTAAAACTCCAGATAGGGAACAAAGACTCCACTGATTAGATATCAGCTGAATAAAAATGGCCAGAATGAATTGTGTAATGAGTTTTGCTGGTGCTGACTGCAGGAGTGTTTGAGGATTATGAGACACAGAGATCAGCTGTGACTGATGGTGTGTGACTCTGTCATTTGGGGACTGACTAAGTTCAACTTCTCACAAAGAAGGCATATTTCTTTCATAGTATTTTGTATTACAAATGGCTTGACACTTATATTTTAGTTGAGTTTCTTGTGTATTTTATTGAACAGGGGTATGGGAATTATATGTTTTTGTTGGGCAGCTGATAATTTACAAAGTTACACTTGACCATTTTAGTTGGACTTGTTCATTTTTAATAATTGCAAATTACTTGCTTTAAAATTGCTCTGAAGACTGAAATATCTCCAAATTTTGTTATTTGTATGGATGACAGAGGGGAAGGACAAATGGATAGTTGATTTCCACCTTCTGCTGTGACCCTGTCATATATGGTAGTGGTTTGAAATATTCCTTACCAATGACATTCTAATGCCTACACATTTCTCCTAATGTTAAATAATTTTCTTTGGGAGGTGAATTTTTTAAAAAATAATTTCATACTGGCAATAAATATGTAGATGTTTGATAGGTATTGTTTCGTGTCACTATTTTGGGTTTGTAAACACAACAGAGATCAGAAGGAAGAAAGGGACATAGAAGACAATGAGGAAGAAGATTCCAAGTGTAGTCGAAAGAAAAAACCAAAGTTATCTCTGAAAGCGGACTCCAAGGAGGATGAAGAAAGAGATGATGAAATGGTTAGTATCTTTTATGCCTCTACCACAGAACATGGGGTGCTTCTTCAGTGGGCAGCACCCCATGGAAGAGCTCACTTTGCACTGCTTTACCACCAGTAAGTTACCTACCTACCTTCTGGGAGCTGCTGTCCTCATCTCAAAATGGGAATAAAAATAGTAGTACCTGTTCCTAATGGTGGAGAAGCTGGATGTTCTGGAATTTAATGTTGTAGCAACAGGAAAAATGGCAAAAACTTTCAGTTTTGCAAATGAATCACAAATTTTTCTTAGTAGCAAACAGCTGATCCCATTTTGTTAAATTGCAGGTACACCTCATAAAACAATGTAAGGAAATAGAAAATGGGAGATAAATGTTAGCTAAATTTGAGGAAAACTAATTCAAAATGTGTGATTAAAACATAAATATTTTTTCCTTGAAGTGTGTACTAGCAGTTCTGTGTGAAATGAAAATTTAAGGTCTTGAAGCATTTTCCTACAGATCAGTATGAACAAAGACTATTTGCTTGTTGCTATGCTAGATCTAAGACTGCTGGGATAAATAAGAGAGCTGGAGGATAAGTCTCCTCTCTGGGGCATTATATTCTTATTAAGGAAACATAAAGTAGGAAGGAAAAATAGCATTCAGATTGTTTGAGTACTTTAAATTAGGTTTTCCTAGAGAAGGTGACATGAACTGTGTGATCTGAGAAATAAAAAGGGACCAACCCAAATGCCCAAAAACAGATGACTGAATAAAGAAGATGTGATATATATAGACAATGGAATATTATTCAGCAATCAAAAATGATAAACTCATGCCATTCACAGCAACATGGATGGAGCTGGAAGGGATTATGCTCAGTGAAATAAGCAAGAAGGAAAAAGAAAAATATCAGATGGTTTTACTTATTGGAGGAACATAGGGGAACCAAATACGGAGCCAGGAAAAAATAATTTTAATAAATTAAAAAACAAAACGAACAGGCAACTATTAATCAGAGACACTCCGCAGGAGAAAGGGAGGGAGAGCTATCAAAACGGGGAGGCATGTGCTCTTACACAAGGGACTATGGTGATGGTGCACGGGTAAATTGGTAGTGGAACTTTTACAGGGACTATACTTGAGAAAAGGAAGCATGCATTGCATAAAAAGAAAAATGATGTAAAATATATATAAAATAAAATAAAAAAGGAATCAAGTGTGAATGAGAAGCTCCCTTGACAATGAAAATCAGGGAAAACTTCCTAAGGCAATAGCATGTGTTTTGTTGTTTGTTTGTTTTTTTAAAGATATATTTATTTATATACAGAACTGGGGTACAGGCCAGAGATGTGGAGGGTGAGAGGATTCACCAAGGACAGAGTGGGGTGCAGAACAGGCATATCAACGAAGTACACTGCTGAGGGCAGCAGCGGGTGGGTCAGTAGAGGGCTGCCTAGCCATGTGGATCTCTTCTGGGCTTAACCCGCTGCGCCACCAGGGAGGGCCCAACAGCATGTGTTTTATTTGAAAAACTGTGTGTTGGAACCTTCAGGCATTAGAGGAGGGGAAGTAAGATGAAGCGGAAGTAGTATATATGGTTCATGTCACATAGCCATTGTGCTACATCAGAGTAATGGGTTTTCATTTTATTCTGAATGGGATGGGAAGCCACTGGAAAGCTGAAGGCAGTGGTTTATTTAACATGATTCATGTTTTTACATGGCCATTCTAACTTTGACATGTGAGAGAGTGGTATCAGGAAAACCATTTAGGTGTTGATCATAGTTAACTAGATATGGTACCATGTAAGATAGAAGTGATTGGACTTAGGGTTGATTTTGGAGATGTATGAGGGCAAGAGAACTGGGGATAACTCTGAAGAGTTGTTTGGCTTGAACATTGGCTTGATTGCCATTCCATTTATTGGGATCGGGAAGATAAACAGAGTCTAAAGTCCTTTTACTGTTGGAGGTTTGGGAGGCTCACTAGGCATCTAAGTGAGGCATAGCTGGAAGTGGTAAGGATGTTTGGTGTACAGATTATCTAGGAAACGTTGGGGGTGGGATTGGATAGAGAAGATAAGGGAACTTGATTAGAGGGGACATGAACAAAGGGACTGAGGAAGAGTTGCCTGTGAGGTATGAGGAAAACCAGCACTGAGTGGTCAAGGAGTTGAGAAAAGAAACTGTTTCAAGGAGGCAGGAGCAGTGTCTGCACTATTTCCAGGGTGTAATTCTTGGAAGCATTCTTATTTTGTGATGACCTCAGGCCAAAAGCAACACAGTTGCTTTCCTCAAAAGTTATGAAGTGAAATTGGAGAAAAGTACAGAAATCTTAGTGACAGCTCTGACTTTTCATTGGTGCCAGTTTCATGAACTTTAAAAAAAAATCATAATTTTTCTTTCTTGCTATAGGAGAACAAACAAGATGGAAGGATCCTGAGGGGTTCACAGAGAGCCCGCAGGAAAAGACGGGGTGACTCGGCTGTATTGAAACAAGGTGAGTTGATGAAAGAAATGTTTTATTTGTAACTATGAAATTGAAAATATTTCACACAAGTGGAATTTTGACCTCTATTGTAGTATGCACTATGACAGTTAAATTGTTGCTTTGGGCTTTACCCTGATTAAAGTTTGTCAATAAAAATTAGGGTTTTGAAGAAGTAGATAAGGGTAGGGTCAAGGCAAACATGAGGACATTTTTCTTTGTTTTTTCCGTTGACTTGGTTTCTTCTACATCTGTACTTTCTCTAAAACCTCTGTTCTTGTTCATTTCCTAAGATTTTAGGTTTTTAATATTGCCTCTGATGTCACAGCTTCCTCATGTACCTTTTCTTTTTATTTTGGTTCCTCAAACAACACTTCAGTTTAATGAGGAATCTAGCGTGAGGCCCATCCCTTTAATACTTGACTGGGTGAACTCACAGCTTTATTGGAAGGGACTGCAGTGTCCCATGTGGGCTTCCCCCCTGACCTACCACATCTGCTTGTTGCTCCTTCATTTTAGCTCCCTTTGCTCACTGTGCCCCCTCCAGACCTCTGGTCATGTTTTACCTATAAATCGGTGCATAAGCCAAGTACTTGCCTCCAATGTTCCAATGTATTCCTTCATTTCAACTTAACTCCTCAAAAAGAATTTTAAATATTTCTGTCTGCCTCAGGTACCCAACTTCATATCTCGTGGGAGTTGATTTTCTATTTTATAGAGTGAGATTGCAGGGAGTAAATTTATCAGTTTTTCTGTGTTCTGCCTCAAAAAATGTCTTTAACCATTCTTTCTTCTTCCTCTTCATTTCTATTCTCAGAGGAGTAGCTCTTCTTCACCTTTTTGTTTGGGTAATTTATTTTTTCCCCTTTAGCTATTAAGATAGTTTCTGTCTTCCCGAAATCCATCTTAGCCTGTTCATGGTCTCATTCCTGAAATACATTTTCTCCAATTTTGCTACCCATCAAGCTGTTATATTCTTCAATTTATTTCCATTATTTGTGAAATCAATACCCAATAAAAGTGATATTAGGTGATTTCAGCTCTTTGTCTCATAATTCTGTTGCTCAAAATCTGGCTCATGAGTGAGTGTGTGAGTATGTGTGTGTGTGTGTGAGTGTGTCTGTCTGTCTACTCCAAGATTTGTAGCTGTTTCCTTACCATTCAGTTCCCTGGCCTTTTCTCAGTCTTAAACTTCTTTGTCTTTTAGGAAAAAAATCTGAGCCTCCGCTTCTAGGGCTTAGCTTACTTAGCTTGCATGGTCCTGTGACGACAAGGCTTCATGCAGTATCATCTTTGCTTAAGTTCTCTCACCCTTCTGTACGCAAAACTGTGGACATGCATTGCCCTTCACTTCTTGACTCTTCTTTCTTTGGAAGAGGAGCCAGGAAAAAAGACAGAAACACCAGAAATGGGAGTCAGAGAAGAGCCATGTGGAGTAATACTCAGGACAGTGAGCATTCACAGTTTATGTCTTAACATCTTAGACTGAGAAATTCTACCATTTTACTCCCACTTCAGGTTTGCCTCCTAAAGGAAAGAAAGCTTGGTGCTGGGCATCCTACCTGGAAGAGGAAAGAGCTGTGGCAGTGCCAGCAAAGCTGTTCAAGGAGGTATATACAGGCCCATCTGGAAAGCATGTTTCTAAGGGCCAAGAAACCGGAATGCTGATCTGAAATTCATAATATTGTTGTCTGTGTAGGATATGTGACTTGGGATAATTTCTCAAGCATGCTGATTTTTATGGGGTCACTCCATGCGTGGACACCTTCTCCAGTGCACATCCATAGGCACATCCCCGCCCCCCTCATCACTCACCGACTTGCACTCCATACATTTCAGAGGCATACTTCTACTGTAACTGAACAACCAGATGATAAAAACTGGCATGACATTGCACATCAGTATCATGGCTGGGGGAGAATGAAAATGAGTCACCAAGGTTTTCAACATTGCACGACAAAAATCTAAAACTGGGTTATCACAGTATTATCCACAATAAAAATATTTTTATCTTAAGTAACTTATAATCAGTTAAAAACATTGGCACCAAATGTTCTGAGTATATACTGCTGCCCCTGCACTAAAACATGGCTCAGTAAACTTTTCCTGAAAAGATGTAAAATATTTTAGGTTTCATGACAAGAACAGTTTTGTTGTGACCCATAAATGGTGGTTTGCTGACCTCTAGTTTAAGTTATTTAATTGTGGTATGTAATAAATCTGCCATTGAAACCTTTATGTATATGTAGATCATTTTTAAAAGTGATGAATAATAAATTAGCACAAGTACATCTACATTAAAAATATTTAAATTTAAGTATAAAAGTAATTACATATTAACTTATTGAATAATTATTGTCTCTAAAATGGAACAGGACTCTGTATATATAGAATTTATAACTTACATATTTTGCTATGGAAACGTTTTAGTGTTCACCTGTCAGTTTGTTAATGTCTTTGTGGAATGATTTCCTAGAATTAGACTTGCTGAGTCAAAGAGAATGTAGTTTATACCCCTACTAGCAATATATGTGTGTACGTTTCTGTAGAGTCTTGCCAATACAAAGTCAACAACATTTTCATCTTTACCAACCTGATAGATAAAATACCTTTTATTTGGTCAGACTCTGTGGGTGAGGGTGAGCAGCTTTTCAAACATGTATAACATTTTAAACCTCCTTTTCAATGCCTTGTTTAAATTGACTTTGTCCATATATCCATTGGATTATTTGGTGATTCCTTTCTTTTTCATTTTTAGGAGTTATTCATATATTTGACTAAATAGTCTTTTAAGAATAACAACTATTCATATTTCTAAATAGGTAGCTAGAATCAAATGCTAATGCTGCTGTTATTTTTCCATTTTAGTATCAATCCTTTCCATATAACAAAAATGGGTTTAAAGTTGGCATGAAATTAGAAGGGGTGGACCCTGAGCACCAGTCTGTGTACTGCGTCCTCACTGTGGCTGAGGTAAGCTGCATGTCATCTTTATTTTCAAGCAGAATGGTAATTATGGGTTTTCACTTATGCTGTGTTTCATTTTTTTTTTTTTTTCCATCTTGGTTCCATAAACGAAGAAACTGAGACTTGGAGGGGTTAAGTAATGTGTGTAAGACCACACAGCTTCCTTGTAATAAAACAGGATTTTAGCTAGGTCTGACCTTTGTCATACTCTGTTCCTTAATGTAGGGAACAGGTCTCTCTTCTTATACACACACACAGGTAAACTTAGTTAATCTTTATTTTAAAGTAAAATGGTATCATGGAGCTTTAACATTGTAAGGTGTGTGTGTGGGGGGGTACAAATAAAATTATTCAGGAAAAATTGTCCAACTCAGTAATATATATATATATATATATATATATATATTAGTCCAGTTTATTACAGAGAAAGTACTTCTAGAAATGTCTTCCTCTTTGCTCCCTCATTTAAATGAGCATTTTGTATTTAAAAAAATTCCCCCCAAATCCTATGATCTTGTTAGTGTTAATTATCATAGGATTCTTTAATTATCATAGGATCCTTTCAGTGAATTTGTGAGAAGCTTGGCTCCAGTGATAACAACTGCAGAGAATAATAATACCCAGTTTGTAGAGTGAACTATTATGTTGGGCACCATATATATGTAAAAGGAATATATGGCTACATACACAAAAAAACACTCAGAAGAAGCATCCAGAAGGATCATACTTGACAATCACGATTATCCATGAAGGAATTACTGACTCTCCCCTTCCACTTGAGCACAGGAGATAGGCACAGCATCGGCAAGTTGGACCAGGGACGGCATCTCCCACTCTAAAATATACACCTGCTTTCTGATACAAAGAGATTCAGCCCTGGCCTTTCACTGCTATCTTCAGAAGCTGTTTGTTATTTTAGCTCTCTCCAGTCAGTTTTGCCATCTGAAAAATGCTTTGGTGACAGTATATTTTACATAGACATGTTTTTAACTACTGAGTGGCATCTCATTTCACTGACTTGTCTTAATTCATTTAATTGCTCTCATATTGATAAACACCTGAGTGTCCTTCACTTTCTCACTGTAACAAATAGTACTTGTGAACATCCTTTCACATCTGTTTTTGCACATGTGAGTATGGCTGTAGGTTCCATACCGTAACTGTCAGGTTCAGAGTTACGAGCATCTACATTTTTGATGCTTGCTACTTCTTTGGACTCTCTGAATGGTTAATCAGGTGTTACCTTCTCACCAAGAGTGTGAGTGGAGAATTAGCCTTCACCTGATGATATTCAGTGAGAGGTTAGGGCTGAATCCTTTTGTTTGTATCAAAAAGTGGGTATATATTTTGGAGAGTATGTGACGCTTTGCCTGTCAGACTTGATGATTCTGCGTCTTTTTCTTTACTCCGCCCCACCCTTTTTTTTTTTTTTTTTTTTGGCAATAGGAAGAGATTGGAGAGTGTTTGAATTCTGAAGAAGCCACTAGGGATCGAGATTGGGATGTTCAGAGAGAGCAGATAATTGATAAAGAGGGGATGAGTGATGGTTCCAGATATGAGGAGATACATGCCTTAGGCATGAGGAGTATCATCTTGTGTTATGACAGAAAAGAAGAAAAGGATGAGTATGTGGGAGAACTTCTTGCCATAAAAGGCAAATCATCAGCTGAGATACTTAGTGCTTGAGGGGGTCTCAAGGGGAGGTAAGGGGGAGTTGGTGTGGTCATATGGCATTAGCCTCAGAGGAGCAGAGTGGAGAACAGTGACATAGAAACCATGATGTCGGAGCCTGGGATCACTGCGTGACCTGAGACAGTAACCCTGTCTGACCTTAGAAAGTGCAAAGTGGGAGAGGGAGCCGCTTCTGAATGAGGAGAGGCTTCAGATAGACCATTTTTTGAGCTAGCACGTTGAGGATGCAGGAGATTGTCTACCAAAGCATAGGTTTCCAGAGGACATAAAGCGTAGTAGAGAGATCTAGGAGAGGGAGGGCAGACATTCAGAACAGAATGACCTGAGCCAGTAGAGCTAATCTTCTGGTGGAACTTGTTTCATAGGCACCGAGCAGAGAGAGCTGGCGTAAGGCAGAATAGGTCTGTGAGCTCAGACTGATAGGAGAAGCAACACCTGAGCAGCAACACCTGAGCTTTTTCTAGGCCAAGGGGGCGGGGTGTGTGGTCTGCAGCAAATACCCTTCTTGAGAGTTTGTACTTGCAGGGAGTCCTAGTCTTGGCTTTAGAGAGGAGCTCTGATCTCTCTTGGTGTTTTAGTGAGTGACCAACGTTGTCTGAGTGTCAGTACACTGAAATAATTCTAATATGGAAGCTAAAATGTAAAAGTGTATCAACCCTTTTTTGCCCCTCTCTACTCCCACTTCTCAGAAGTCATTAATATTTGGTGTATATATCCTTCCAGATATTTTGGAAACTGAATATCCATGTGTGTGCATAAATAAGAGTTTAAGTACCTTTGGGTATATATATTTACGTGTACATCCATAATAACATACATTTGCAAACATATACACATAAACCCATAAACTTGCACGTGAGTAATATTTCTCATAGACTAACTCATCCTGTAGTTAGGTCAGTTGAATTCTAGCAACATGTTTTGGAGAGCTTTCCATAATAGTTACTGTATAGCTCCCTTATATGGGGGGTTGTTAATTGTCCTGGCTCTGTATATCAATTTCAACTTTCTTGTTCAGGTTTCTGTAGGTCAGTTGCTCCTGGAGTGTTTAGAGGTCTGGTGCGTATGTGCTTTCTCTTGGACAAATCTCCTTGTCTTGTGGGAGGTTGAGAGGCTGCACTTCGCTGTCAGAGCTCAGGCAGAACATAACACAGCTGAAGTCCCATAAGCCCATGCCACCTTTTTTTTTTTTAAAGATTTATTTATTCATACAGAACTGGGGTACAGGCCAGAGATGTGGAGGGTGAGAGGATTCACCAGAAACAGAGTGGGGAGCAGAACAGGCCGATCAACGAAGTACACTGCTGAGGGGAGCAGCGGGCGGGCCAGGAGAGGTCTGCCACACCATGTGGATCTCCTCCGGGGTAGGTAGGGATCGAACTCATGTGGAAGTGGCTTAAGCTTCTCAGTGCTGTGCCTTAACCCGCTGTGCCACCAGGGAGGGCCCCATGCCATCTTTTAACTCCAAATTCCCCACACATAGATCCCTGCATACAGATGTAGGGCTTCAGTGTCCAGCATGCTTTACACAGAGTGAGTTCTTAGTGTTCCAGGGAATCTGTCTTATCTAAGTATAAATTGCAGAGGCTGTTCTGTTTTCTAGCCCAGCTACAAATGGAGAGAGAATTTGTTGACATTTCCCGCCCTCTGCACCAGCTATGGCCCACCTGCATATTGCAGTGTGTGGAGCTTTATAAAAGACAGTGTACCGCTGGGAAGCTGCCCTGGGTCCCTGCTGGAACTATGTATCCTGGGGTGGGCTGTCTGCTTCTCTGCCAGCCCCCTGTGATACACAGTAAGGCAGAGAGGATGGGGAGAGAGGAGGGGTATACATGGAGAAATTATCCCTCACCCTGTATCCATGGATGGCAATTTGACGGGGTTGTTGCCAAAACACTATAGAGCTTATCATTTATTCACTTGTTTTTGTTGCTGTTAAGAAAGCTGCTCCAGTTAACATGAACTATACCATACCTGATGTTCCTATTATTATTGTTTTTGTTTTTGTTTTTTTTCAATTTCTACACAAATTGTTTAATGAGTCAGTCTGCTTTTTCTGTTTCAGGTTTGTGGGTACCGGATAAAGTTGCACTTTGATGGATATTCAGATTGCTATGACTTCTGGGTCAATGCAGATGCCCTGGATATCCACCCAGTTGGGTGGTGTGAAAAAACTGGTCATAAACTCCATCCTCCAAAAGGTACCATCGCTTTGTTATTTCACATTTTAAATTCTTAAACACTGATTTTCTTTTATGTTAATTTGAAATTTTTAAGAATTTAGATTTTATGATAAACCAAGTGTACTCAAACTCAAATTTGTAGTATCTGATTAAAAAAGTGCTTGTTAAGGTTAAAGAATTTTGGGAAGTAGAATCCAGCTTAAAAGATTAAACTGGGGCCCTCCCTGGTGGTGCACCAGGTTAAATAAAGCACAGCACTGAGAAGCTAAAGCCACTTCAGCATGAATGTGATCCCCACCCCGGAGGTGACCCACATGGTGCAGTGTGTGGAGCTTTATAAAAGACAGTGCACCGCTGGGAAGCTGCCCTGGGTCCCTGCTGGAACTATGTATCCTGGGGTGGGCTGTCTGCTTCTCTGCCAGCCCCCTGTGATACACAGTAAGGCAGAGAGGATGGAGACCTCTCCTGACCCGTCTGCTATTCCTCAGCAGTGTACTTCGTTAGTTGGCCTGTTCTGCTTCCCATTCTGTTTCTGGTGAAGCCTCTCTGCACATCTGGCCTGTACCTCAGTTCTGTATGTATAAATAAATAAATCTTAAAAAAAAAAAAAAAGATTAAACTAGTCTACTCTGCGTACTTGCATATTACACTTAAATGATACTTAATTTTGACTCCAAGATTTAGCTAGATTTCTATTTTATATTCAACTTTGGTGAAATTTATTTGTGAAATTAATTCTGACCTGTTAACAAAACTAAATTCATTTATTGATATTTCATTTTATAGAAAATCGTAAATTGTACACTGAACTTGTGCGTTCTAGTAATTAGGAGATTGGAAAGAGAATTAACACTAAAAATTGGTCTAGGTAGCAGTTAATATTTTTAAAAATTTTTTGCTTTGAGTTTATAGCTCTGTATACCAATGTTTTTGTCTATATTCATGTTTACATAAAGATCCGAGAATAAAATGTCTTTTAAGTCTATCACTAATGTTCCTACTAGCATCTTATTTCCCTTTTCAACTATCCCATTTAGCATTGCTTTCTTGATATCAAAGATCTAGGTTACTAATTTGTTGTTTTGGGCCTGTCTAAGGGCTGTTCTTTTTAATGGGCAAAACCAAAATCCTTTGGTTTCAAGTGAAAAAATTGATGGCAGAATGGTATTCTCAAATGCTTTAAGGATTAGAACAAAAGTACATAGAAAAAAAAAAGATGAAATGAAAATCTGTAAAATCTGTAAGCCTTCATATAAATTGATCTTTTATAATGATGCATTATTAGCAGTGGTTCTTTTTCTTTTACCGTCTAGAAAGCACATTAGCAGGTGAAATAAATGCTCAATCTCTTTTTTAAAGAAATAACTGATTTTAATAAGTTTGTAAAAAAATAAAGGCAATTACATTTCCATTATTGAAACTTGCCAACATACTATTATAGATCTTGAGTTACCATTCTTGTGATAGGCCAAAAGACTTTTATCTGTTTTTAATATTTTTCTGGTTTTCTATTTGTACATACAAGCTAATGAGGAGAAAATAAAAGAATTTTTTCCCTAACCCATTACTGAGACACCCTGCAGACACACTGATAAAAATGCCAAATAGTACAAGGAAGCTCACCTGGTGTAACGTGTATACACCTCCTTACCCTTTTTCATTATATCTATCTCCATTCATTCTGACTTGAAAAGAAAAAAATAACATTAGAAACAGCATAGTCCTAGTATTAAAGTTCAAAGTATGAAATTATGTGTTCAATATTGTCTGTTTGACATAAGTACTTGATTGCTGAGTTTGGCTTGTTGGACTTATGAAGTGGAAATGCAAAGCCATGTAATATATTTTAATATTTTACTAAATGTGTTTATGTGTACTTTAGGATACAAAGAAGAAGAATTTAATTGGCAGACCTATCTAAAGACTTGTAAAGCTCAAGCTGCCCCCAAGTCATTATTTGAAAATCAGAATATAGTAAGTAACTCCCAGATACTTTCCTTTTCAAAGAAAGTGATGTTTGAGTGTCTCATAGGTAAATTACAAGTGATGACAAAAAACCTACAGTAAATTTTATGGTTTTGGTTGAGTACTCTTATTTTTATTGAACTTTGAACTGAGGTTAAAAATCTTTATGAATAAATGTCCATTTTATAGCAATACCATGGGCATTTTTTTATTGAATGTTAAAAGACAGATATAATTTGCAACTAAGGTACATAAATTTTAATTGACTGGATCTATTACTGTTACTGGTATTTATGAGTACTGTTCAAATGGATTCACCTACAGAAGTAGCACTGCTTAGATTTGTATGCAGAGACTGATCTGTCTCCAGCTTATTTTACAGTGCAACAGCAGCGAATTCTGATGTGTCTCTTTCATATGCTTGGTTTATGTAACCATATTACTTGCACTACATGCTCCTCAGTTGGCCTCTCTGAAGAGGCCTGATATGTTACACTTGTCTTCCTTACCCACATTCTGATCTAGCTGGAAAAAGAAGAGAGCAAGCAAGGGGAATACTTGAATATTATCTTTGTAACTGATAAGGGCTTAGTTGAAGTACATGGATGGCTATATCTGCCAATAAATGAGCTTTTTGATGCTGAGCCCTAGAGTTAAAGAGATTTACTGGCCCTTCCTGTTCTACCATCTAAGCCCAGGAATGTTGGAGGAGGCTGGCCAGGCTGACCTACCCTCCTGCAGGGACAGCTTGCCCCTAGAGCCGCAGAGTGGAAATTATATGCTCTGCTACTCTCAAAAGAGTATGGCCAGTTCCTCCTTCCAGTTTCACCAGTCAGGTAATAGTGAGTGAGAGTGTGGAGAGACAGTAATGTTTCACTAATGGGTTTCTTTCCAAATTGAGAGAAATATGAGGAATGGAGAAAAACCTTCTTATCTGCTCTAAATAACCTCCATTTGGGAAATGATATTAACTAGTTATTTCGAGGGCATTAATCTAAAAGCTGAAACTTTACCTATTCAAATTGAACATAATTCAGGTTGAATGAGAACTAGAAGAGAGAGAGCTAGAAGGAAGGAGTCTGCGTGTGTGTGTGTGTGTTTAGGTAACTGATAGACATAATGATCCAGATTATTTTCGTAATTGAGTGGGTAACTTAATCGCTAAAGTGTAAATATTGGTTTGTTGTTAAGTGTTCTCTGTCAAGACAAGGGTAGAGGTCACTTAGGTGGAAAACTCAGTTACCTGCGGTCAGCGCTTAGTTTCTAACCCCTGACTGGTTCACTGATGATGGTGATTTCCATCAGGGATTTTATTAACTGCTTAAACCCTCTTCTTAAATTCTGTGCATCTCTGGTAAATTATACTTGAACTATGTGTTTGCTATCTAGGGTGAATTAATACTTCTATTTCTATATTCTTCTGCTTCAGGATATTCAATATTATGGTCAGAACTCTGATACGTAATCAGAGTTAAATGTATAAAGATTTTCGTGTATCATTTATACCTTCTTCAACTAGACAGGACCTAATTGTGACATTTTCAGAGCTATGACTGTCTACATTTTTAATAATTATAATAAGAGGAGGTAAATTTATTTTGTATAACGTAATTAGAAGATTGTCTGTTTTCATTCTGACATCCCAACAACTTCCCTGACATTAGGCTACTTTTCCTCACCAAACATTGTGAACAATTTTGCATTGTACTGTACCTCAGGCACTAAATCTTTCTGGATTATTAATGTTTCTTCACTGTTGCAGATGGCCAGTAATCTGTGAACTTCCTCCTATCAGATTTTAAATGACTGTGTATATTCAGCTAGTTCTAATGTATCTGTAGTGCTAAGTAAAAATTGTAATCATTTGCAGTCTTTTCTATATGAAATGACCTACTTTCAGTAAAGTACTCTTTTAAGAGATCTTTCAGAAGTAGGAGTGAGTTTGTACCGACTCATGTACATTTTTAACTTGATTACGTGCATATTTTGTTTGAAATGACTTTCATTGTTAAATCTAGAATCAAGAAGGAAGACAAACCCAATAAAACAAAGAGTTAACTATACAGTGAATAAAGCTTTCCTAGCCAGTAGTAGCCTTCGAGAGCAGGTACCACAACACCTGGTTGTGAATGAGTGAAATGCTGCAAGGTTATGGTGCTTTTGTTTTGAGATCCAGATAGTTAACTGTCTGTAGCAGCAGGCATTGTCCTAATTGCTGCTTGTTGGAAAGCTACTCTGCTGTAAAAATGGTTCATGAATTTTAAATTTTGTGACTACAACTGATGGCTGCCAGGTCTTCATGAAGAAAGTGCAGGGAGGGTGCAAAGGTGCAGGTCTTGCTGCTGCTTGTGTATCTCTAATTAAATCTGTATGTCTCATAGACAGTGATCCCATCAGGCTTTCGAGTTGGAATGAAGCTTGAAGCTGTAGACAAAAAGAATCCAGCATTCATCTGTGTTGCTACGGTAACAGATATGGTGGACAATCGTTTCCTGGTACATTTTGACAACTGGGATGAGAGCTATGACTACTGGTGAGACATTTTCCATTGCTGAGCTTTCTAATACAATGTTTGTTCAAGTAAACTAGGTATATGGTTTCAAAACAACGATATTGCAGAGCTTAAAACAAAAGATGAAAGCCGCATTTTTTCTCATTTCATGTTTTTAACTTTCTAGCTGTTCCATATGGCATATACTTCTAAATAATACCCTTTAGCTCTATTTCCTGATTTTTATTTTAATTGACTTTCTGCTGTGGATGTGCACTCACAGACTCACAGTTAGCCTCTTTCCTTGCGGGGGAGGGGTCTTTTTTTTTTGGAAGGGGGAATATTTTAGTATCATTCATATTTTCATACTATTAGCTAATTTAAATGTTTATAACATGAAACTATACGTTTATATATTTTATATATTTCTCATGTTATAACATGAAAATACATTGAAAAGCATTGGCTTAGGCCTTACAGCTTTTGTATATACTACATAGAGGGGTAGGAGCAACATACTATAAAATTATATAATTATGAAATAATCGTAATAAGCATGTGTTTTGATTAACATGTTAATCAGCATGTTGACATCACAATTTTCCATTCTTCATTCCTGTTCATTCATCATTACTATTCAGATTCCTGGTGAAAGGCATTTTGGAAGTGTTTTGTTCCTCTGGAGCATACTTTACAAATAAGAACATTTAGAGACATGACTAGTATCTTTATAAAAAATGGATAATGTTATAGTGTCAAGTGAATATTAATTTGTATAAATATTGCTACATTTTCAGGAAGTTTGTTTTGGAATAATTAGCGGACTTTTCTCTAACCAGAACACAGCAACAACTGTCAGTTCATATAGCTTGTATTCTGTATTCCTGCTTCTAAAATCCCAATTCTAGGAATGTTTTGAAGCAAGTTCTAGATATCATAGCATTTCATCTGGAATATTTCAGTATGTTATTGCCTAAGGATAGGCAATCTTTAAAGATAGTTACCCTTTTTTTTTTAATCAAGGGTGGTATGTTTCAAATGCTGCAAAATTACATGCTTAATGAAACAATCTTCCCAGTTGCCATAACTTTTTTTTTCCCCAGTTTTATGGCTTTAGGTCCAAATAAGGGGCTCCTTTCTGATTGCTTTTATGTTTCTTCATCTCTTTTATTTTATAGATTACTATTTTTCTCTGTTTCTTCCCCGTTAGTTTTATTTAAACAACGGGTTTCTCCTGTTGACTATCAGAAGTCTGAATTGTTGAATATTTCTTATCATGCTCTTTTGTTCTTTGTATTTCTTGTTAATTGGCTGTTGTGTTTCATTTAAAATTACTCACATGAAAATGCATTAGAAAACTTTAGATTTAGAAATACTGTTAATCTTTTCTGGGTAGAACATGAGCTTCCTTTTGTTTTATGTGCTATATGAGAGTGACTAGGATGTAATCCTTTTATTAATAAATGATAATTTAAAGTGAAAAGAAGAATTTATTGAAATGATATTTTTTGTTTGTTTTCAGAGTTCTGATTCCATTTTTTGAGCTTTTTGGTGTTTTCAAAAAAATGGATGAATGTTGTTTTGTGATATTACAACAGTACTATAGTAATTTTACGTGTATTATAGTATTTTAAATGTATAAGTTGCTTATTTGACATAAGATGTATTTCCTTTAAAAATATTCTTCTGGAAAAATGTGATGAGGAGTTCGAAAAGATTTGTTACAGTAATTTTTCTTTGATCTCAATGCCTAGAAAATAGAAAGGATCTTAGGTTCTTTTTTAGAAAGAGCAAAGGAAAAATAATTGATTTTTTTTAATCTCTGGTTTTACATTTTTATGAGAACAAACTAATTATTTTTAAGGTGGGATGTACCTTGAGGGTTTACTTATGTTTCTAATTATTGATTTGAAATCAAATTTTGTTAATGTCAGAAAAAGAATACAGTGTGTTCTCTTCCTTGATATGCAATTAAGGCATATTGAAAATTGCTTAAGAGTACTGGAATTCCTCCAGCCTTTTAAAATACTATGTTCTTTGATCTTTGAATTTTCAAATGAATTTTATCTGCATAAATTACTTACATATATAATTGATATTGCAATTGGACTGCTTTTCCCAATTTAAAATAGTTTGGAAATGAGAATTTTTTCCCCACCTTTAAGTTAGTGATCTTACCTTTATTTTACCTTAGTGGAAATTTGAAAACTGTCTATACATGTTCATATACTTGTGATGTTACATGTTTAATTGCAATAAGACAATACCATGAAAATTTATGTAGGGTTGAAAAGTTTTCTTAGGAAAGTAAAATAATATATATTAATATGAGACTGCTTTGTCTCTGCATATTCTCTGTGCTTTTTTTAAAGATTTATTTATGCCTACAGAACTGGGGTACAGGGCAGCGGTTGGGGGGCAGGTGAGAAGATTCACCAGAGACACAGTGAAGAGCAAAACAGGCCGATGGACTGAAATACACAGCTGAGGGGAGCAGTAGGTGGGTCAGGAGAGGTCTGCCATGCCATGTGGGTCACCTCCCTGGTGGTGCAGTGGCTGCGATAGCTTCATAGAGCTGTGCTTGAACCCTTGCGCCACGAGGGAAGGCAGAGCTTTTGTTACTGTTACTTGGTAGTTGTTTTATCTTACCTCTTGATAGTCAATACATTTAGAAATAGTCCTACATACACAAAAATTTGGAAATTGAAAGGACTTTACAGATGCTGGAAGGAAAGTGACCTAGTGAGGGAGCCACCATCCTCCCTGGTACATGCTTCTTTGACTGTGCTTCTAAGCTGTGTTTTCTGGGCTGTGCTCCCAGAACTGTGTCCTGGACCGCACTCCCTGGGCTGTGCTCCCAGCGCTGTGCTCCTGTACCCCATTTCCAGGGCTGTGTTCCCTGGATATTGATCCCAGGACACTGTTCCTACTGCAGTGCACAGTCCAGAGAACTGGGTTATAGGGAGATCAGCCCCTTTTAACGTCCAGGCACTGAGAAGGAACCTACCTTTTAAGAAATGTTAGTGTGATTTATCTTGTTTTTGGGAACAAGAACTCATGATAGATGCCAGATACCGAGGACTAAGGCCATTCTATTGAATAGAAAGTTCTAAGGAATGAGGTTGCAGTTTCAGCCACCTTAGAATTTCAATCTAAAATTTAGTTGCCCCCTTTGCAAAAGGGATTAGCAATAATACTTGTCTGGTGGTAGGGTGTTAGAGTATTAAAATAAAAAAGTTCTAAGCAGAAAGCAATTTGTTGAAGGTTAAAGAGATGGCTGTAAGAAACGCCAGCCTCAGAGGTTTGGTCCTAAAGCCCAAGTAGTTTATTCCTTGATGAAAAGGCAACCACTTAAAAAGTTTCCTGCACACAGAGAGTTTTGAGCTGAGTCTCACAAAGTTCTGAGCTGAGTTTCAGACTCAAAGGAAGGAGGTCAAACTGGAGGGAGACAGTAGAGATCTCTGCGACTGAATAATTGGTGACAGCAGGTCCAGAAGGAGCAGCTAAGGTGGGGGGAGAAGTAAACTATCTGCTTTCACAGCGCTTGCAGAAAATGAAGAAATAAAAGGAAAAATTGACACTAGTGTAAAGGGAGAGTATCTCCTTTTCTTTCCCAAATTTTCACAATATCAGTGAAAATCAGGTTTTAAACTCTAAGAAAATGAATAATGTTTAAAACATCTACTGTAGGGACTGGGATACTGGGATTTGAATTGAATAATTAATGATGGAAAGAAGTAGCAGATAACTGAGCCTTGCGAAGGTGAGGATGAAGCTTATTAGCAGTCAAGCCCAGAGTGGTGGAGACCCTGAAGGGCTAACCTGGGGGGATCTGAGCAAAAAACCATGGTGCTCTGGTTTAGGGGTGGGAGAGTCAAGTGCATCCTGGGTTTCTTAACTATTGAAGTAAAGAGTGATGTTTTCCTTACATATGTGCCTTGAAATGTTCCTTTTGGATGCTTGATGTAGATCTGTGGAGCCAAGATCGTATGCATTTGTTTTATTTGGCTTTTGTGACTAATAAAAGCAGGGTCTCTTTTCTTTTCAACCCAAGGGCTTGGTGGAATCACTTAGCCTCTTTGTGTTCCCATAAAATAAGGACTTTAATGTCTGCTTACATTAGCCTTATATATAAACATGGCTTTTGTGTGAATTAGTTCTCTGGTTTCTGGCCCCTTTAAAATTCCCAATCTAGGTCAGACTGCATCTTGGCAGCCTTCATGAATAATTTGTAGCTAACTTGTGAAATTGTTTTAAAAATTTTTTTTGAAATGGGCTTTCTCTGATATTGTAAAATCCCAAAAGAAAGGACAGGTATGACAATTAATAATTTGAAAACTTTTCTGCTTTTTCTTTATTGTTCTGCTCTTTGTTATCTCTCTTTTTGGTTACATTTCTGCTTTTGAACACTAGATGGGACTAAGGTGACTTCTTTTACAATAGGAGTAGCAAGGATTTCACAGTTACAATTATGAATTGTTTGCTTATTTGAAAGTATTAAGTAAAAGAGACAAAATTGGGGCTACTTTTTTTTTCTCTACTAACATGACTTCCTTGTATAATTCAGATGGTGACTCAGTACAACATTTAGAGAATATTAAAACCTTATATCAGATTCAGGTAATATAAGAATAAGTGGCCAAAATGTGCTACCCTATTTTCCTTAATTGCAGTTGACAGAGACATCTAATAAAATTGAAAGTCCTAGTAATATTGACTGTAATTTAAATGTGATACCGGAAAGTAAATATAAAAAGTACTTGATAGTTGTCATGGATTAAGAAGAAAAAAATTAAACAATTTTTTAAAAAGATTTACTTATTATTTATGCATACAAGACTGGGGTACAGGCCAGAGGTATGGGAATTCACCAGAGACAGAATGGGGAGCAGAACAGGCAGACTTACTGAAATACACTGCTGAGGGGAGCAGTGGTGAGACAGGAGAGGTCTGCTGCACCATGCGGTCAGCCCCTTGGCCAGCCTGGTTATGAAACTCAAGCCGTAGTTGCTGCAGTGATTGGTGATAGTTTGGCTGCGCTGTCTTTAACCCCAGCACTACAAGGGAGGTCCCTAAGAAGTGTTTTGTATTTGTTATTTTTTTTTTTTAAAGATTATTTATTTATGCATACAGAACTGGGGTACAGGCTAGAGGTGCAGGGGCGGCAAGAGGCTTCACCAGAGACAGAGTGGGGAGCAGAACAGGCTGACTGATGAAGTACACTGCTGAGGGGAGCAGCGGGCGGGTCAGGAGAGGTCTGCCACGCCATGTGGTCACCTCCGGGGCAGGCGGGAATCGAACTCATGCGGAAGTGGCTTTAGCTTCTTAGTGCTGTGCTTTAACCCGCTGCGCCACCGGGGAGGGCCCTGTATTTGTTATTTTTTAATATTTAAGGAACCCTATGTGGAACTATACCTTAACCTAAGATAAAATTCTCTCTAAAATAAAGGCAGTCCATCCTTAATAATAACCCATAACTTCAGTATTGTCAGGGAAAGGTTAGTATAGCTGGAATTAACACTCCATAACCTTGTTGAAGCAATTTATGACAAGATGCATTGTAAGGAGTTGTGTATTAAAGCATCTTGTTTGCAAATATATTGTAAGCAGTGTACCAACTGCTCTGTGAACTTGGATTGACCTACAGTGCTTGTTTTCTTTCATCTTTCTAAAATAGTGATATGTACATATGCGGCCCTCATATGTAACTTAAGATAATGGTTTTGGGAAGGGTGGGTAGGAGAGGACAAATGGTATCCATACAAAATGAACTTTATAAACTTATAAACTTAATGAAATTTCCTACCAAAATAGTTTTGAAGAAAATTAACATTAATTTGGGGGTAATATTTTCTATCGTCTTAAAAAATTTTTTTTTATTTTGAATCAATTCTTAGGTTTTCTTTAGGTTTATAAAATAGTACAGAGATTTTCCATCTATGCCCATACCAGATTCCCCAAAAATATCTCCCAACTTAAAAAAAAAAATCCCTTTTTCTATAAAATGTTTCATTTCCAAGACTCCTTTTAAATCAGAGTTTCTTGAACCTCTCTCTACCTGAACTGTCTCTACCTTTTCTCCTTTTGTTTTATCTTAACCCTCTCTGTTCCATTTCTTACCCTTTCCTATGCCCAGCTCCACCAACACAGTTACAATTATGAGCAGAAGCTTGATGATTTATGTATATATATTTGTTTTTCCACATGATTTTTATGATGGAAATTTTCAATTTCTAGTTACAGTAGCTTTAAGTATATGCTATATTTAAAGTTAAGTATATATTAAAGTTTGTGGGGGAATAAAAATTATTTGCTTGTTGTTATACCTAGGTGATATTTCAAATAAAAATCTTCTTGGTATAATATTTTGGAAGAGTGAAATCCTTTTAGCAGTTTTGCTAAGTATGAGTCAATAGTTATAAAAATATTTGGCAAATTTTTTATTCCAAATTAGATTCTAACAAATAATACTCTGTAAGTATTCATGACCGCTAGTGTTTTTTACTTTTACTAGTATTAGATGATTTATCCTAATATAATTTTTTTTTTTTTAATTTATATAACCTGCAGGTGTGAAGCAGCTAGTCCACACATTCATCCAGTTGGTTGGTGTAAAGAGCATAGAAGAACCCTCATTACTCCTCCAGGTTTGTGTTTTATATACCCATTACAATTCATATACTTTGAGAGTGGGAAAATTTTTTCTGCAAATGGTCAGATAGTAAATATTTTTCACACGGTAGGCCAAAATCTTTGTCATACCTGCTAGATTCAGGTGTAACACAAAGGCAGCCACAAAAGGTAGGTAAATGAGTGAGCATATTTATGTTGCAATAAAATTTATTTTCAAAAATAGTAGCCAGCCTGTAGGCAGAAGTTTACTGAAACCTTGCTAGACCTGAAAAATGTATAAGCATTTGTTTAGTTTGTAATTGTTTCAAATTTGGTATTCTTTAAAAATAAATTGTTTTTGAAATATCTTACATACCTCAAGTTGAAATTCAACTTGGACTTTGTATTAATATACATTTAACTATATTTTCTAATCATGGAAACAGAGTTTCTAATTTTTTTTTTCTTAGCACAATAAGAATGCTCAGATATTCACTTTTCCTTTTTCTGTTTTGACTCCTGATTCCAAGATTTTGCACCTTCACGCTAGATGTACTTCTCTGTTCTCTGAAGCTTTTGGGTACTCAGCTGTCTGGAGGCGGTCATAGACACTCGTCAGTGTATTTACTCTCTGTTTGACAGGGAACTGTACAACTGCTCATCAATAGTCTTGTTTGAAGTCACATTGAGTTCATGTGCTAAAGAACACATTCTGTGGTGTTGCCATCATCAAGATGATGAGTTCTTAAGCTTGTCAGTATCTGGGGTGCCCTGCTACTACTGATATGAAGTGACAGGGTCTGAGCTAGCATAAAGCAGCACTTGCTATAGGTGGTTGTTTGGTGGCTACATAGGTGAGTGTCAGATTTTCAGTTTTCAATAGGAAAGACTGTTTCCTTGGTTTGCTGTAAGTTGTGAATAGTTTGTGATTGTTACCTACAGCAAATAAGCAGTAAAGACTCAGCTTAGAGCTTCAAATCCTTGACTCATTCCATTGTCACAACTGGTGTCACTATTAGGCTTCTCTACAGTTCTTTGATACTATATCCAAGAGTCTGATCATTTACTCACTCAGGGGGACAAACAAATCCTATCATGGGCAAATCCCTTCTGTTGTTTGAGTTTTCTCATTTGTTAAGGGGGCCAAAGCCCCTGTCCTTTACTGATTTAAGAGACATTATAAACTGTTAAAAGCAAGATATCTTGGATTTCATGGCCCACATTTGTGGTTATACTTGGAAGATTCTCCTGTCTAGCCCACCTGTGTCCTGTGTCTCACATAATATCAGAGATCAGTGGATACTGACCACAGAGTTACTGTTTGACACTGTTACCATCTAAATTCCTGTAAGGACTCTTGTAGATACCCAGTTTGACAACATTCCTTCTTTCCTTTACCACTGTATGTGGTCATCACCAGGGAACTGATAGATACCCAGTGAATGAGGGAGTAAACAGCAGATTTTTGGCTGTGTCTTCAGAGCCTGGGTGCATGCTGGGGTGGGGTGGTGCAAGGCACTGTTGCTGGCTTCTTGTTTGATACAAACAACCAAGTTATCTGTGTCCTTTCTTAGACTTTTAGAATATGCTGTAAAAGAAAGTGTAGAGTTTTTTTTTTAATCAATTAATTCATTTTTACTTCATTCTTCATTCTGTGCATTTTTTCATTTCAGTTGTGATCCCTGTGGACTTCCCACCACAGGTTCACCCATGTGCCATCATCATAGTCATGCATTCTTCCCACCCCAGTTTTGATCCTATTCCCTTCTCCACTCCCGTAGAATGTCCATGGTTTATAGTTGTTAGTTGTTCATTGTTTTTCCGTTTTACTTTATTACAATTGCTTTTTTGTTTGTTTGTTTCCTGATCCCTTATGCTCCTGCTATGAGTGAAACCATTTGTTATTTTTCTTTTTCTTTCTGGCTTATTTCACTAAGCATGATCCTTTCCAGTTCCATGCATGTTGCTGCAAAAGGCTTGAGTTTATCTTTTTTGATTGCTGAGTAATATTCCATTGTGTATATGTACATCTTCATTATTTTGGGGCATTTAAGTTGATTCCACATCTTCCCTATTGTAAAATAGAGCAAAAACATAGAGATGCAGGTGTCCCATTGAATCAATGTTTTTGTGTCCTTTGGGTAAATACCTACGAGTGGGATTGCTGGGTCTATGGAAACTCCATTTTTGACAGTTTGAGAAACCACCAAACAGCTTTCCTTCCTGCTTGGACCAGTTTGCAATCCCACCACCAATGTAGGAGAATTTTCTCCACATCCTTGCCAACATTTGTTGTTGCTAGTTGTTTTAATATGTGCCTCTCACTGGTGTGAGGTGGTATCTCAGTGTGGTTTTGATTTGCATTTCCCTTATTACAAGTGATGCTGAACATTTTTTCATATGCCGGTGAACGGTAAAAGGCAAATTTTGAAAAAATTTAAAAAAAGGAAAAAAATGCAAGCCAAACCCAACAAAAGAACCCCGGACCCAACCAAAAAAGGGTAAAAAAGGCAAATCCAAAGGTAAAGCAATTTTTAAACAAAAAAAAAAAGTCCGAAAAAAAAAAAAAAAAGAATGGAGACTACTTACTAAGTGAAGACCTGTGATGATACTATCCTGCTTTTTGGCTCTATGACAGAAAAACTTAACCTTTCTCTGGGTCCATTATCTCTAAGGGCACATTCCTGGCTGTATCTCTGATCTCTTGTCTGAAAAGAAGGGATTCTGATGGCCAGTGCCCTGTGGGTGCTGCCCACCCCTGCTCCTTTGTGCTCCAGTCCCTAGGCCAGTGCTGCTGGCCACCTCAGTTTCTTCCTCTCTAAACATGCAGCCCTTTTCCTCCTCTTTTCTGAAATTAGCATCTTCAAGCCTTTTAAAAATATTTGTATAAATACTTGCTTATTTTTGTGAAAAAAAAAGTTTAATGTAAAAATAGAGAAATCCTGGCCCTCCCTGGTGGCGCAGCTGGTTAAAGCACTGCACTGAGAAGCTAAAGCCACTTTCACATGAGTTCGATCCCCACCTGCCCCAGAGGTGACCACATGGCATGGCAGACCTCTCCTGACCCCCCCGCTGCTCCCTTCAGCAGTGTACTTCGTCGATCTGCCTGTTCTGATCCACACTCTGTCTCTGGTGAATCCTCTCACCCTCCACATCTCTGGTCTGTACCCCAGTTATGTATGAATAAATAAATAAATCTTTAAAAAAAATAGAGAAATCCACTGCTTTCTCTCTAAATGGTTGGATAGTTTGTCGTTGTATCTTTCCAGAAATCACTTTTGCCTCTATGTAGACACTTACATAAACACACACCCAGTCCGTCTTAATATTATTTAAATTGTGAAAGACATGGTCCTGAAAAAAATTGTTAAGCAGTTATATGCATGAAGATATGTATGTTTGCATAGTGACTCTTTCAAATGTTACAATTCAAAATGTACAAAAGTGATGAAGAATCGTGCAGAGACCCATTGACATTTGTCAGTTCTACCAATGATGTCATTTTATAGCCAAAAAATCAGGCTTTGCACTTAGTTGTCTCATCCCTTTGGTCTTCTGTTAGGCTGCCTGTGACTTTCATGATCTCATGGTGCTTGAGTACTACAGAACAGTCATTTTGTAGGATATTATTAAGTGAGTTTGCTTGGTGCTTCTTTGTGATTAATCGCAGGTTTTGCATTGTGGGCAGGAATATCTCGAAACTGTGCTGTTTCCATTTCATCCACTCTGGTGGCATCTGATGTCAGTTTCCCTCATTACTGTTTGATTTTCCCCATCACTTGATCAAGATGATGTTTGCCAGGCTACTCCACTATTGTAGTCAATTTTTTCCTGTATAATTTGTAAGCATTTTGTTGGGCAATACTTTGAGATTATGCAAATGTCTTATACTCCAACCCTGTGTCTCACTAGGTTTAACATATGTAGATATTTCTAGCATAAATTACTGACAGTTGCTAAACCCTAGTTTTTCTCATTCCATCATGCTTTGTACAGTTTAAGTTGATATTATTTTGTAAAGAATAGCTTGCTCATCCTATTTGTTCATTCAATTTATTTAATCAACAAGAACCCATACATTACTTTTGTCATAAATGGGTTTTAGTCTATTACTGGCATTATTTATTTTCATGTTCAGATTTGAACATTGAGAGCCCTACTCAGCTTGTTTCTATGTCCTTTTTACATGTCCCGGGTATTTTTGAAAACTTCCTAGTTAATGGTACAGGTAGGCTTATCTTGTACTCTCCCTGACCTGCTTCTGAAGTCAGCCATTTCTCCCAGGCTCCATAGTTTTTAGTGGACAGTGATACATAGAAACAAAGATCTAGACACTATATCTATTATTGCTATGGGGACTTTAACAGACCACAAAAATTATATTTACTTCTCTATGTATTTACACATATTGAAATCCATGGTTTTTATCATGAGTTTCAATTCAAGTTTAACATCACTGAAATTTAGCATCATTAGTTTTCCACCTTCCTTATTTGTATCTCTCAGTTATTGAGACTCTTGGCTTCCACTCTCTATGATATACTTGCTTAGTGCCTTTTTGAAAGCTAGTTTCATATTCTCTTAAAGGAAATGGAAGGGGGCATAAGGAAAGAAGGGTGGTTGTTTTTAGACATACTAGTAATACTGTCCCATGATTTGTTTTAATTTTTTTTATTTGAGCCAACAGTATGAGTTTGTATGTAAATCTGCTTCATTTGTGTAGCGAGTGCTTTTCTACTTAATATGTACTCTACACTTCTTTTTACACATTTCTTTACTAGTCATCATTTAACTGGCCTCATTTAATATTTTCATTCATAGAGATAATGTGAATTTGATAGATCATAGATTAGTAGAAGTAAAATTCCTAGATGCAAGGGTTTCTTTGTTTTTATGTATTGTGTTGTAAGAATATCTATACCTGGGACTAAAAATTGTACATTTGTATAAATATGTATATATTGTTTCATTTAAAGGTTATAGGTACTTTATGATTCAATGAGAATACTTTCATTATTACAAAAAATGTTAAGTGTGTTTCAGATTAAAATCTTATGTAGTATGAATGTGATTTCCTAGATTTCAATAATATCTTAATTTTTATAGGTCTTTTTGTGGCTCTCACTGTCATTTTGATTAAACCTGATAGAATTTACTTTCTTATTCTTTCTTAGGTTATCCAAATGTGAAACACTTTTCTTGGGATAAATATTTAGAGGAAACCAATTCTTTACCTGCTCCTGCAAGAGCTTTCAAAGTGGTGAGATATATATTTCACGCTATTTGATTACTGTGTTGATGATACTGTTCACTCATTGAACTTTAAACATAGAAGGAGCTGTTACTGGTAAAGCAGAATTGGAATGATTGAGAAATACATGGCCACATAAGAAGTTTTTTAATTTTTACAGTTTTAAAAATTAAATTTTCATTTTAATATTTAAATATTACTTTCATTTTAGACTTTGAAATTTCATTGGAAAATAATTTTGCTTGAATCCATGTGGCATGAGTTGGGATATTATAGCAAAGCTTTTTTTTTTTTTTTAACAACTGTATATGCTAAAAGACTAAATGGGAAAGGGCATTATTTTCTAATGAAAATTATATTTGCTTATTTTTGGAGTTGTTATGCCAAACTGAGGAGCTATTTTTTTT